GCACAAGACGTAATGTTCCCGCAGTAGCCTCGCCATGACGCGGTGCTCCTGAACCGTATGCGCTTTTTGAGTTTGGATTTGGCCGTCTTGTAGTTTTCCCAGTCCTCATCCGCGCATGTGTTCATTGCTCTATTGAAACATCTCCTTACCCTTCTTCGAAGCCTCTCAAGCTCAGGCCCCCACCAGTGTTGGCCTTGTCGCGGGGCTGAGTCACTCAGTGGGCATGCGGAGTTATAGCTGTTCACTATGTTTGATGTTAGTTCTTTTACCTGTGTTTCTATCTGTGCTGTGTTCAGTAGTCTGCCAGGTTCCCCCAGACTCTGGTGTAGTTTGTCAGTGTATAGTTTACGATCAGTTTTTCGGGGATTTCGTTTCGGTTGTTGTTCTTTGATGGCTGTGTCTAAGCTAAATCTTATCCATCTGTGGTCCGAGAAGGATACTTCTTCGGACACGTGCCAGTCTTGGACAAGATTTACTGCTCCTTCTGATGCTAGGGTTAGGTCTATAATTGTCCTGCATCTTTTATTTACGAAGGTTGGTACAGTACCTTTATTAAGGATTTGAAGGTTAGTTGTGAATAAGTATTCTGTTAGGTTCTTACCTCTGTCATTTGCGAGTTCCATGCCCCACAGTGGATGGTGGGCATTGGAGTCAGTAGCCACGACGATGTGCTGGCCGTTCTGCTCGCAGTACTTGATTAGCCGTTCCATTTCCTGTGGCGGTGGTACATCAGTCTCCGCCATATAGACAGAGGCGAGCACCACTTCAGGTAGGCCTGTGGCCGTGTCAGCTAAAAGCTTGACGGCACACAGGTCTCTGGAACAGAATTCTGTTAGTGGCTGTACATGTAAGTTATTAGAGTAATAGATGCAAGTTCGTGGTTTATCTGAGTTATTGGTGGATAATAGCTTACCTCTCAGATGTGAGAGTCCATTTATTTGGCCGCGGGCACTGATCCACGGTTCCTGGATCAGCGCCACGGCTGTGTTGTTAACCTCCAACCACTTCCGGAGCTGAACCGTTGCGGCCTGGCTGTGGTGGAGGTTGTTCTGGACGACTTGCAGTTTATTGAGCGAGGGGGATACCGCCATCACCAGACAGCAGCTCCACGTCCTCGTCCTCGCTCAATCGGATGTCTCCCATCCCCAACACACACTCGTCGTCGCTAATGGACACCGCCGGGCATTCGTCGGTGTCCACAGGGTCGGGGGTCGGGGAGGGCCCTTTTCCTTCCCTGGTGATACCAGAGGAGGTGGAGGGCTCCGGGGAAACATCCATTTGTCCTGTGTCCTGTATTGTAGACGCTATATTCTCTGGAGGCGCGTCAGTGTAGAGGCCCCTTTTCGTTCTAAATCTCAGGTAGACCGTGCCTAACTGGAATGTGAAGCGCCGGCCATGCCCCAGGACAGTGGGGACCAGATCTTCGGGGTGGCTCACCACCACGAAGGTATGCCCACTTTGCTGATTCAGCTTGTGGACAAGCCAGCGGTGAGCCTCCGCCCACTTGTTTTGCCACTTGAGGATGCGACCGATTCGGCGCGCATCCTCCCATTTGCCGGGGAGTAGAAGTCCGCAGACCACCCTCCGGGGAGCCTCCACCCCATTTTTCAATAAGAGGGGCTCCCCGGAAGGCAGCCTGATGGTGCTGACGGCGTCCTCCAGCCACTGGAAAGTGGCCTTATCGTGACACCACAGTTTCAAGGCCCCATCGCCGTAGACAGGTTTTCCTCGAAACTGTGGGCCGACGTCATCCTCGCCGCATTCCTCAGCTCCTTGAGTGAGAAGCTCACATAGGGCCTCCTGTATGGTGTCAGCATCGGGGCTCCGTATGAAACCTGTTTTAGCCGAGGTAATAACCGCCATGAGTTCGGGGTTAGTTGCCTCGGCGTATGATTTGTTCTGGGCGGGCCTCTCAACTTTCTGCCGCTTGTGCTCGCCTCTAGGAGAGATCGTCTCATCGAGGCGTGCCCGTTTGGCATTGGTCGAGGACCTCTGCGCCTTGTCCGCCGGTTTGCTCTTAGAAAGGAGGGGGGCCCTTCCAGGGGGTTGCGAGTCCGGTCTAGGGAGCCGCTTTGGTGCGGTCCCAGAACCATCCTCGCCAGCCACTGGGGGCCTCGCCTCTCCCTCCTTCTGCTGGGTGTTGCTCGCGTTTTGAAGTCGCTCGCGCTCTCGGAGCCGACTCCGTTTGTTCTTTCGGGCAGGGCGTCCCCTGCTCCCACTGGGAGCTGGAGGTGGTCGCTTGCCCTGGCCACTTTCCCCTTCCATGCGGATGGGTGCCGTGGTTTTGGGCTTGCGACTCACCAGAGTCCACCCTGCCTCAAGGGCTGTGTGCGTTGGGTTCTGCGATGCAGAGCCAGGTGTCTGAGCGGGGACCACGGAGCACGAGGCTCGGGCCACTACCGCTGGTGTTGGGCCAGCACCGGCATCGGTACGCGGTTGGCCTTGGGGTTTCCCCTTTGGCCTACCACTCACCGTAGGGCGCTGGTCTGTGTTTGATTTTGTGCTTGATGGGGCACTTTTGGGTTTCCCCTCCAGTACCACCGGTTTTGGGTGATTGATTTGTTTTGATTGATCTGCAGAATCCATAATGCATTGTACTTGTGTTCACTCTCCTGATTTCCCACCCACCACGGAGCCCGCACCTTTGGGGATGTCCCATTCGGGACACCAGGATTATCAGGAGAGTATAGGTGCAGAGGTTGGGAGCTCACTGCGCGACATCGGGAGCTCGAAATGTGCGGCTGGCTGACCCGATCAAAGTCAGCCAGGTGTTCCGCACATACTCACCCCGTCAGCATGGCCGAGTCCGTCCCCCCCACACCTCGCCTGTGGCCCTCTGACGGGACACATTGCCGTTTCCCTGTGTTGGCTAGTCACAGGGCTACCGTTTAGCAGGAAATCAGGGCCAAAGAGGGCGTATTGCTTGCCGGGGTCCCCACCCCGCTCGGGCTCAACCCCCCAGGATTCCTTCATCCCTGCGTACGGCGCTCAACTGCGTAGGCATGAACGCAGGAGGGTGTAGGTTAAGACCGCCCACCACTTGCCATGATCCACCCTCATAAAGCATGGCCGGGCCGTGTTGATCGCTTCGCGCTCTCACTGGTAAGACTCAGACTGAAGCCGAGAGTTGTCAGTGTTAGCCCCAGGGTGTACCGGCTACATCCTTGGGCATTCTGTGACAACATGTCATCACAGATTGTTCAAGAACTTCGCACGCGTGGAGGTGGAACAACTAACACACCCCTGGGAAACCCTGTGTCGCGGGTGCCATGGACACACACATAGACAACCACAAATTACACCCAAACTCACGAGATAAATATGTGATAAATGTCAAACAGAAGCGATAACCTCAACAGTTGTTAAAAATAAAGCTTCTTCCGATCCAACCATGTGACTACCTGGCAAGGTAGCTGGTGAAATTACAGGCACATGGGACTTGTCAAAAATTATATCTCAGTTTGAAGGGCACAGTGGCAGTGCCCCTCAGATCTTTGCGATTTAAAGCTCTGAGTGACACTGCAACTGTTATGGGTAGGTGTGTACTTACCATCAGGTGCATGACTTGTTCGTCTTCTAAAAAAGTTTTTTGGGGTAATAAATGGCAGCATTCGCTTATAGTCCATTTACTTAGGTACTAAATGTAAACAATCTTGAGATGTCTATTTAATGAAATATTTTATTTTATATATTTATTTTTACTTACCTTTAAATACAAAATACAAATACTCAGCTTCATATGAAATTGCTTGCCTATTTTTATACCTATTGATTTGTAAAGTACATGTTTCAATAAAAAGATGTATCAAGATTGTTTACATTTAGCTAAGTATCTGAACAAATAGACTATAGATAGAGTTTTTATGTTGTTTGAGACTGCCATGTCTAATTTAAACCCTGATTAAAATTTGAGGATATATTTCTGTCCACACCAGCCTACCTATCAATAACAAATCCTATTTTTATTATATCTTTTTCTGCAATTTAATAACTATTAATTTTTGAATGGTAATTATTTATCGAGTTCTTAGGTTTTCGCAATTGTTACACATAGGAAATGGATTTAAATCGCGTATATTTGTTTTTTCAAACAAATCTTTTTGTTTGAAAAAACAAACATACGTGACTTAAATCCGGAAAAATAGTTTCATTTCCTATGGTAATTATTTAGTTATTAATTGTATTATCACATGTGTAAAACAATGTATGAGCAATAAAGAGTATTATTATTATGTTCTGCAATTACTTACATCTAAAGTTCATTTATTATATATTCCCGCATATTAATTCGAGCCACCTCGCATTTTTGTCGTAAAGGGCTAGAACAGCCTTTCCCAAAGTGGGCGATAACGTCCGCTTGTGGGCGCTGCAGGCCTAAAAGGGCGGTAAGAGACCCAGAAAAAAAATGGGGGCGTTGTGTAGAGGCTTAGGGGGAAATTTGTAATTTCATCTAGGAAGACTTTTAGAGTCGTATTTCAGAACTCTACTCAATGCTCAAGTCAGGATTTGAGCAGACTTGAGTATGATTTCAAGCACTGGAAATACGACCTTAATGGCAAGGATTGAGTATGATTTTCAGTGCTCACTGCAATACTATATTAATAGCTCACAACAATTAATTTAAAATTGAAGTTATAGTAGTTTTTAAGTAGGTGAAAAAATGGGCCTGCTAAAAAATAATTTATTCTCATAATGGGCAGTAGACAAAATAAGTTTGGGAACCCCTGGGCTTGAATACAAAAATAGTGTTATCATTGAAGAAAATGTTTTTCCCGGTTTTGCAAATTCAAATTCCCAACAAGGACTTATGGAAAAGACGTTTACTATACTAGTTTCAAAATTGCATAACAGTTTTTGATCAATCAAACATTGTTTAATCTTCGGGCACTTGACACTGAAAATGCGTGATGGCTCGAGAATGATGTGTCCGGAAGTGTATTTATTTATACGAGTTGTTGATACTAGGTGCAGCTTTAATTAATTGAGAACCTTAATTGCAGTTTTCATCTAAAGTGATAAATTGTGAAGCGTCTAAAGAGCCCATTGTGGAGTATGGAAAGACAATAAAGTTTGAAGGGTATGCAGTTACTTTAGAAAACACCATTTTATTTCCAGCAGGTGGTGGACAGGTAATTGTAATAAATTTGTTAACTTTAGCCAATGTAATAAACAATTGACGAGTTACACTAATAAGACCAGAACTTAAACTAGGCAATCCATGAACTTACAATAGTTCTCCAAAATCAGTTGGATTATCCATCTCAAGCGACCAAGACCTACACTTCATTAAGACCTAATAACACTCTTGAATATGCTTTAAGGTTAAGAGCCGAATGAGGTTTATTTGTTGACATAAACTCAAGCTATATTTATTAATAAAGACAGTTCACTTTAGTAAGGTTTTACCTATACTTGAGATAGATTTATTACTACAGGCCTAAATTTAATTTGAGATTTAATTTGTGACAATCGTTTTTGTTTTAATTCCATAAGTGCTACTGGACACTAAAAATAAGTAAATCTATTATGTAAATAAATATTAGACTACATCACATACGTTGCTCTGATCCCAAAGTAAGTAACTGAAATACTTACGTTATGGAACTCGGAAACAATGACTGTTTGATCCGGTCGCTGGTTCATATCCGGCTCGAAGGACCAAACATTTTGGTCCAACCAAAATGTTTGGTCCTTCGAGCCGGATATGAACCCTTTATTTACCCCTTACAGAACCCTTTTTTTTTTTAGAATAGTAAAGTGTATTGGTATAAAATACAGGTGTTATGGTGGTGGTGTTCGTAACGTACTACGTAAAATAAAGTGAATCACGTATTTAAGATAAAGTGCGACACGTGGCTAAAGTAGATCGCAGCGTGCGCAAAGTTATACCAAAGAATGTACGAGACCATACAATTACGGTACCGCCAACACCCAGACCAAAGACAATATAAAACAGTTAGTTTTTGTAGATTTACCAGAGATGTCGACACCATGAAAACTAATATGCAAGTCACACGACCACAGACGTCGTCTTTACGTAAAGGTTAAAAATGATATACTTAACAAAACATACCGCCACAGGCTTATATTTTTTACAAGATTCTCTTAAAAATGTTGCAGTCGACAGCTTCATTATAAGCTAATGTTTCAGCCCCACGACCTTGGCTATTTGGACAACAAGGAGGTCCTTCAAGTGCTTCGCAAAGGCCATGAGGCATTGCACTTTACCAAGGAGCCAATAGAAGTAGGCAAAGTTGTGTCTCAAAAGATAAACTGGGAAAGAAGGTTCGACCACATGCAACAGCATTCTGGTACTAATGTTTATTTTAAACTTCGTTTGTGGTATCGAGTTCTTAGGTTTTCGCGATTGTTACACATAGGAAATGAAACTATTTTTCCGGATTTAAATCTCTGTAAAGGGCCCGAAACGTCGGTTTGTTTGAAAAAACAAATATACGCGATTTAAATCCGGAAAAATAGTTTCATTTCGTTTGTGGTGTTAACATTATTATCAGGGTAGCGTAGTCAGGGCCTGTAAAGCCTAATGCGATCAGCAATTGTTCCAATTGTCTCAGCCTCTTCTGACTGTCACGTAATTTTGCCCATTAAAGGGCAACATTGGCTTAGAAGGTGCAGCAAAGTCTTATCTGCTACATAGTGGTATCTAGTCTCTAGTTTCCTACTCACTTAACTTCAGGTCGAAAGCTATTTCGGCTCAAGGCCAGAGCCACTCTACAGTGTCTTGTGGTGTAGACATTAATCAGGGCTTTCCAGTTGTTGCGGGTTATTAAGTTAATTTGAAAAAAGCAACTTTCGGGAAATGAGCTTTAATGTTTATGAAAATAATACATTATTTATAAATCGAGATTTTCGTTTAGTGACGATATTGGTGATATTGTAGCTTACACTGGATTCTCAGTGTAATTCTGGTGCCCCAAAATACATGGCCTACCTAGTTTAGGCACCAGTCTCCTGTTGAGTTCTCACTTAAGTGTACTTTTAAAATTGTATGTGAGTGTGATAGAATAAATTATCATTATGGTGTAAGGTAACACATGGCGCCATTAATGGCCGTAGCAAAATTATTATAGACAAAAACTTGCTCTTATACCACTAATTTACAGAACTATTCCCTAGCAAGTGGACAGTGTCATAATAATATTTATTTATACTAAGAATACAATGAATACAAATAAAGTATAGAGTGTATTAACTGCCACGTATTGCCACTACAGGTCAAAGTTCTCATCCAAATAAGTTTTATTCTTGTTTAGTTTTCTGCTTTCGCTTTGCTAATGGTTAGTTGTTAATTGTCTATATCTACAAAGAACACCATTAAACTGTTTTTTTATGATGTCTGCTAAGTAGCCATGCTTTAATTTATCTGTAATTATGCCGTATTAAAAGAACCTACAAACATTCTCTATTAAATAGTCAAGTATACGTTCTTTTTTCTTTCTGCTCGGCAGGTCAACATCTCCTCTCGGCAATTTTAGAAAAGGAGTATAGTCTCCCCACAACTAGCTGGTGGCTGGGCGCAGACGAAAGCTACGTGGAATTGGACTCAACGTGCGTTACCAATGACGTCATAACACGAGCTGAGTCTCGGTGCAATGACTTGATTAGAGATGCTGTGCCTGTAGTTGTCAAGTTTTGTAAGATTGACGACCCGGACCTTGACCAGGTAACATGTAGTGATGATATGCAAAGTGTGAATACTATAATAGCGTAAAGCTCAAATTATATTTTGTGGCGGAGCAGCATTGAAGCGAATTTTTGTAACAATATTGTACGGACAACGGCACATCAGACTACACATTTTTGTTCGAAAATCGCCTCCAGTGCAACGGAACAAGATACGTCAATGTGTAGCTTGATGTAATTACTTTATGATCAATTGTACAACGTGCAAACTAGATACGAGCTAAAAATCAAAATCGAATCAAAAACCATTCGCGAGAATTCCGCAGCTGCCATCGGCGACGCCTGGCGGGGTCGGTAGCATAATGAGTACATCTTCAAAATTATCAGCTTAAGGACTATATCGCAAAACGATCACCTTTGTAGAAAGAAACTTACTCGCATTTTCCACTATTAAGTACAATTTATAGTATAAAATGGAACCAAGTTGATAACTTTATTTTCATTCGTATTTTTTGAACAACAAATTTTTAACTAAACTGTACTTCCTATGTCGTCCATTTAACGACATGGTCATTTCGTTATCTAGACGTTTTGCTACAATGTCATTGTAAGTTAGTCTTTCTGTAGAAGTGGTCGTTTTGCAATCTAGTCTTTATACTAATCAGGTCATTTTCAAGATAGTCATTATGATACCGACCCGTCTGGCGAATCCGTGGGGAATGGCGTGAAGGCAGGCGCAGTGTGACGTCAAACGTCGACGAAATACTACAACCTCAAAGACGCAAACTCGCGACGAAATTGACGCTTCCGTTCCGCCGCAATGTAAATTGAGCCTAAGGTGAAATTATTATAATTAATAGACAAACACAATTACTAGTAGTAGGGCTAGTATGACAGGGCGCGATTTGCGTGAATGCGACAGAAAGCGCGAGATACAGCTCGCATAAAAAATAGTAATATCTCGCGCTTATATGTCGCTAACTAGGTAATTTCGTGTTCAATATGAGTAACGGGATTACTTTAGTACACAACCCACAGCACCCTGACAATTTCGAAAAGTTAATTTCCCAAACTGGTCCAGTCCTCATCCACCTCTCACAATGCAAGCTGTTGGGCCACCGAGGTCGTCAATTTACACGCAAACGTAAACGTAAACTAAATTGTAAACCTTCTAGAACTGTAGTAACGTAAAAGTTATTCTATAAGAGCATTAATTGCAAGTCTGAATAAGAATATTTTGTATTACGTATTTTTAGGCACACACCAGAGGATTACCAAAAGATTGCATGAACACAGTTAGAATTATATGCATCGGTGACATTGATGAGAACATGTGTTGTGGAACTCACGTTTCGAATTTAAGGTATGTAAATAATGCCAATTTCTAGGAAGGCTAAGCATTGTGAAAATGTAGATAAGTCAGCTTCCTCCCCACATGAGGTAAGCTTCTTCTAAGACGAGATTATAAACGTTTTTTTAACTGGACTTTATGGGTAAATCCTTAACCATAGCAGACATCTCTTGTATCCACCGGTAGCTGTAAAGGTACCTGGGTGAATGAAGAAACTTTCATATAAGTTTGTTACGTCAAAAATGTGACAATCTTAATTATTATAGAAAAGTCACATTTGACTAAAAACATTACTAAACCAAAGATCTTAAGTATTATCATCAGTGATCGGAATTGTGGGAGTTAATCTATCTAAAGTATGAACGTTTTCTTAGTATGGACATACCCAGTTCGTTATCAATGGGTATAAAATTTCTATTTTTACTGTTTATTTTCTAAAAATTCCAAAATGTAGATTGTCTCGTGTTTAAATGGCTAAAGTATTTAAACACGTACAGTCAAGAGCACATCAAGCTTGATACTTTGGACCATTCTTATTCCAAGCGGCATAGAGTTAAATTTAAACCTTTAGTGTCAAGCTTGACGTGCTCTGGACCCTGTACGTACCTAAAGAAACACAAGTACAATGTTATTTTTTGAGACAATAATTTGTTGCAAAATAATATACTAATTTGTTGCCAATGTACTCAAATTTCAAGAAATAACGCATTTTTAAATGTAAATCAGTTGTAGAAGGAAATGTCCACTTTATTCTTTAGTTTAGCTCAATTATCCCGCTATGAGTTTTTTCTTCGCTCAACGGTTCCTTTACAGTTACCAGCAGCTGACAAGAGATGTCGCTTTATTAATTGCATTATTTATTTTATTCAACATTACGTAGAGGGAGAATTGGGTAGAGAGTATAGAGCCCCTATAAATAATAAAAACCGTATAAGCGAGATAGATTTATGCACAGACATATAAAGTAAACGAGAAAACTATATTATTTTTTTGTCCCTTTCTACGTATGCGGTTTTGGTTGTATGACTCAACGCTCGTTGAGTCCAGCAAATCCTTCCGAGTGTTTGATGTGCATGGATTTTATGTGTTTGTGCTTAGAGAAGTGTTTAAAAAGTTACTAACCGTTCCTTTGTAGTAATTGACAATTATTGCAGCTCACAATAATGGTGCATTGTTATATTTTAGGCTGTAAAAGCCGTACGGAACGAAAATACCCAACATAACCTTTCACACGTAAGTTCTAATTTTTCATTACAATCAATGAATTTTCTTGTATGAATTACTAGTGAAATACTCTTACCAGCCTAGAATATTACGATTGCATGTATTTCAGATGATATTTGAAGTGTTTTTCTTGATTGAAAGATTTTTGTTTGTATCGTATAAACCTCCTAAATAAGGAGAAATAAGGAGAATATCTTACTTTTGTCAAATACGTCCATCTCGCTTCTACCAGCAGTGGTTATGATCAGTGTTGGGCGTTAATCAATTAAATTTCAATCAATAATTCAATCAGATTAAAAAATCAATTCAATTGAAATCAATTGCAATTAAATCAATTGCGACGCGTCGCAACGTCGCGTTGCGATTGATTTTAATTGCAATTGATTTTTAATTGCAATTGATTTCAATTGAATTGATTTTACTTGCAATTAAATTTGCAATTAAAATCAATTCCGGTCGGTTGGGGGCCCCGGTTGGGAACTCCCCTTGGGGGCCCCGGTTGGGGGCCCGTTTGTGGGCCCTGGTTTGGGGACCCCGGTTTGGGGGCTCCGGTTTGGGGGTCCGGTTTGGGGCCCCCGGTTTGTGGGGGCCCCGGTTTGGGGGCCCCGGTTTAGGGGCCCGGTTTGGGGGCCCCTGTTGGGGGCCCGTTTGGGGGCCGTGGTTGGGTGGCTCGGTTGGGGACCTGGTTCGGAGCCATCAGGCCCCTTAACTGTCCCCTAACCGGGGCCCCAACCGGGACCCCCAAACCGGGGCCCCCAAACCGTGGGCCCCCAACCGGGGGCCCCAAACCGTGGCCCCCAAACCGGGCCCCCCAACCGGAGCCCCCAACAGGGCCCCCAACCGGGCCCCCGACCGGGGCCCCCAACTGGGGCTTCCAACCGGGCCCCCAACCGGCCCCCTAACCGGGCCCCCAACCGGGGCCCCCAACCGGGACTAACTCACCCCCATATGCCCTATAAATTTATCATAATTGTCAGTTTTAATTGTTAATTGTTAATCAAAAACATTGAAAAGATTGAAAATTGATTAATTGTTAATTGTAGATATTTGCGATTAACGATTGATCAATTGTTAGTTGCGAGAACCGCAATTAACAATTGATTAATTGTTAATTGCGGTTCTCGCAACTAACAATTGATCAATCGTTAATTGCTGTTTCGCAATTAACAATTAATCAATTGTCAATCTTTAATTGCCAGAACAATTAAATTTTGCCCAACACTGGTTATGATACGTGAGAAAGAGAGATCAAATAAATAACGTATAAATTAAATTAGACAGGCGTAAGCTGATTTTAGGCATTCCGTGCCACTATCTTTTCCCCAATTTATGGGTCATTTTAAATATTGTATTTTTTTCACTTTTCAATACTTTTTCAGTTCGAAATATGTATACTAAGTTAATACTGTTCAAGGGCCAATAAAATAAAATAAAAATTTATCATAATTGTTTTATTTGGTTACTAAAACTCAACCTAGCTAAATGTGGTCTTGCGGATTCTCCCTCCTTAGACTCGGCAGATTCATCATTATCATGAACCCATTTATACGTCCCACTGCTGGGCACGGGTCTCCTCTCAGACGAGTGCTTAGGTGACAGTCCACCACACTGGCCCAATGAGGGTCGGGGACTGCACACGTTTTCCGAGGACTTTGAACCTTCTTCAACGTTTCATCACGATGTTTTCCTTCACCGAAAAGTTTATAGAGAAAAATTTATAGGTACTCTGTTGGTATCCCTTTTCAGTATACGCGAGAAGCTTTTCCATTCTTTTTTTTTTATTCTCCCTCTACGGAACATTATGATGTTTTTACTATTTTTTTGTGAAAATACTGTACTAGTTTGTTGTTATTACTAATACAAAATGTATAGTAGTTTTTCATGAAATTCTATTAGTACACATTTCTGACTCCACAGCCAACTGCAAATGATTAAGATAACAGGTGTGGAGCCGGGGAAGAAAGGAAAGACCAACTTGAAATTCTTGGTTGGCAATCGCGTTACGAAAACGCTTCAGAAAATGCTCGACAGGGAGAAGGCGCTGACTGGCTTGTTGAAGTAAGTACGAGTAAGAAAGACATTTGAACTCATGCCTACAACACGTACTCATTATATGCTCACTGTACTCATTACACAAGAATAAACAAAAACAACAGACAACAAGACAGAGTTTAACAGGCGGCGTATTGCTAAGCAGTAATATCTTCCTCGCCATCTCGAGATGATAGGATAAACTTAAAATGTAATAACAAGTAGAGGTGCAATAAATGCTCATACGAAGTTAATTTATCATCAGGCATTTCGTTTGCAGTACCATATACATTTTAGAATTGCTTTTCGTACAATTTTAATAATCCAACAAATACATGTTTTGCAGAAACGAACCAACCAAACACGAAGAACTAGTGCAAAAACTACAAAAGAACCTCAAAATAACCAACAAAAACTTACAAAACGTTCTGTCCGAGCTGGCTCAGTATGAAGTGGACAAAGTAAAAACGGCACAACCTAAACCAAAGTTCGTTTTCATGTTAAAAAAAGAAGCAACTCCTGAATTTAATCGGCTTATATGCAAAGGTTTGGAGGGGGA